AATTTGGCCCCCCCCCCCCCCCCCAGCCTTGGATGAATTTTCCAAAAATACCCCAGAATTCTCTCTACTCCCATATGTACACACTAGTCTCGACTTAAAGATAGAATCACACGGTGTCCTCCATTTCCTGGCGTAGCTGTCAAAGCATTTATGGAACTTCGACACCCCGTAGAAATAATGTAGAAAAAGCAAAAACACGCGTGCTCGAACGTTTCCATAACCGAGCTATTCACGCTTCTCTCGCAGACACGCAGTTTTCTCGTAATTTCGTATTTTTCTTTCGACTTATCCTCCAGCCCTTCGTTCCTTCTTTTTATCGCTCCGTCCTCGTTGCTCGAAAAAAAGCATTGAGGAAACGATTACGGAAACTCCCGGCGTTACCACTCCGCCTCGAAAGGAACACATGATAAATCTAATGGTCCATACCCTCCTGTTCGCGTTCCCGTGCATCCCCTGGTAACGCGGTGCCCATTGTTGGATCATCCTGAGCTCCGATTGGGGTTTATTGAAAAAAACAATTGTTCACGCAAGTCATCGACTCACTTGTTCCACTCGGTACCTGTCGCTCCTTGGGACACTGGAACCGACGTTCCGAACATCGAGGGGACTTCTCCAACACCCCCTCCGCCCAATACCAAGAGGTTAAGGAACTTTGTTTGCCTGCCACCCCTTGACCCCTGTACATAATAAGACTTTTAGGGGTCTTTGGAGTTATTCAGACGATTTAAATATTGCTCCTCTATAGAATTAGCTGCTATATATATATATACATATATACCATAGATAGAACCCTATTCAACCCTCAACCTGTAACGTCGATATGGTTTTTCCATCTTGCACTTGTAACAGAAATGACATATAATAGCAGTGCATGTGCTATCACTATGTTGTATCTATAATGGCTATAGTAATACTCTCAGCATATGAAAAGCGTAGTTCGTAAAAGTTTCGAAAGAAAACCATTGAGTTCTCCGTATCAGTCGGCGACCAATTGAATTTTCCATTTTCCACGCCGGAGACAATTTGATCGTGATCGAGCGCCGCCCCGGGACTTTGATTGGTGTGTCTCACGATCCACTTTCGAGTTTACGCTGGAAAAGTGAACGTCGAGTTAAAAAAAAAATTGAAAACACACAAGTCAAGAACTTTGAAAAGGCGGGGTGGGTTCTCTTTATACGCTTTACTCGCCCACTTAAATTTTCTCGACTTTTCCCTACCCTACGTGTCCTATTACGCGACATTATTATCCTTACGGTAGTCGTGCCTTTACTGTGGGTCTTACACGACCGGCAATTAGTCGGCATTACGTAAAAAACAAAAAAAGGCAGATAAATTCCAATTTGCCCGCGGGACGAATAAATGTCTTCTCTTCTTTTTTTTTTTTCGTATGTAAGTACAGGTAGAAAGAAAAAAATTAAATTTTGTGCATATAATAGAAAAAAAAAAGCTTTGTATCAGCCAGCTCTGTGCACCACCACCCATGTGTGGAGGGACGCCGTGGCGTCGCTTCAAGAGACGCCGCAATTTCTCGTTATTATTATATCCGTCGGTAGACGAAAATCCGCGAAGGGCGGCGGGGGCGGGGGGTGGTAAAGGGGGGATACGTTCGTTTTATAGTCGCGCGAGACTAACGAAATTTAATACCGCGAGCGCATTCTCGCAATCTCCATGAAAAGTGGAAAATTTTGAAAGTTTTTACGGATTATTATATACGTGCTCTAACTGGGCGCAGGCGGCACCCACTGCCGCCGAGATACCGTCTCTATCGTAAGTGTCAAGTGAATGCGAAATTGGTAGTTTTCCTGGGATATTACAATTTACCATTGTCTCGTTTATGGTCGATGCATAATTTTCTTTTAGTGGTACTCTTGTGTCGATGACGTAATTTATCATGACGCTTGGGACTATTTACGTGTCTCTGTGACGTAGCTATGTGAAAGTTTACACGGATAGTAACCATTGACAAATGGTACACCCGGTATAGGCAGTGTGTGCTTGTGTATATGTGTAATCTTTGAAACGATGAACATTAGCACTGTGGCTTGCAGGATTCACTGGAATAATGTGTAAATCGAGGGGAGACCACTTCTGTACTCTGTCCTGTACATATACATATGTTGCCTGGGATTCGCTGTGCGAATACAAGACTTTTGGTAATTGCGACTAAGGTAAAAAGCCTGGGCGAAATAGCTGTAGAAGTGCATTCGAAGTACTTGATAATGGGTCAGGATTGGTAGCAGTGGGGTTATCGTGTTACCCATTTTGAGAATTGCATACAGTCGTTGCGGAACGTTAAAATTAGTTGATAACAAAGTTTATAATCAATCGAATCGATCCGCGGCACGTTATCAGTTCTCGAATTATACGGATTTTTTTTTTCTATTGAAATGCCTATTACGTAAAATCGTTGCTCGGCTGTCTTTTTTTTCTGGTATGACAAACATGGCTACATTCTGTTGGCATTGTTCCGGGGAGAAGGGTCTGACCGCATATCCGGTACGCGGACTCTCTCTCTCTCTCTCTCTCTCTCTCTCTCTCTCTCTCTCTCTCTCTCTCGCTCTCGTGCACTTTAAAAGCATTCCAATATTCCGACTGTTTACGAAGATTTACCGAAAAACTATTTTCGAGGTGTAAATGGCTTTTAAGGCTCCGAAATTGATGAAGAACGAGGATCCGCCGATATCCGGGTCTTCCGCTTCCGGTGATTCTCGCAAAGTGCCAGGTGATTCACGGGTACGTGATAATATTTATGGATGTTATTATCGGTGCTTTCGCCACGCGGAAACCATTAGACGGGAATACGTAATGGGATTACAGTCTGCGCAAATAATGTCCAGCATCCAGTGGCTTCAGGGGGGAATGGGACGGATCTGGTAATTGTAAAAATTTGCTCATTTCGTTTTGTCGAGATAATACGATTACGAATTTTCAAAGCTCACCGGGTCATGGGTCAACGCTGCTTTGGACGGGTTCGATTTAAAGTCTCGTTATTGGTAAATCTATGAACGTAACGAAGGATTCGATTTTTTCAATACCAAATCTCGAGCTCGTTCGATCTCGTCGGATCGTCGATACTTAATGTATCAGGTAGCTGAATTTCTATCGTGCCAATAGAAATCCGATAACGCGTCCGTTTATCGATATCTTATTTTCGCCATTATGCAAAAAAAAAGTGCCAGTTGACAAAAAAAAAAGTGTCCGATATTATGTCGCTCTGAACGATTATTCAATCGTGGGCGCGATAAAGCTCGATTCACAATGACGGAATCGTTTATTAAACCCCCCAGGTATACCCTTGTGCCTCTCGGCTCTCGTTCGCCACGTCTTTCCATTATCTTACGGCGAAAACGAACAGCTTCGATACGCCTGACGAAAATCCTCGTTTGCAAACTCACCGACAAATTTAAGCACTGTTTAAGGTCTGAGCCCCTTGATCACATTTAAAATTCGAGTTGCTCAGGAATTACGCAACCCCCGTTGCCTACATACAAAACAATATTGTGTGTATATATATATATAGGGCAAAGGCCAGTTTACCCATGTAACCCTGTTTGAAATTTGGCGAGTTGCAATCACCTCTTACACGCCAATTTAACGTTGACTCGGAGCTTTGTTGATTTTTTTTTTGCGCAATTCAATGCACTCCCGATCTTTACCAAATTTTCATATTATTGACACCCGTATTCTTTTTTCTTGCAGGTATGTACTTCACAATGCTATTTTCTCCGAGGATACAGTCGTACCAGTTGACTATTACTAAAATCGCTCCAGTGGGTGAGTAAACGATCGATTTACGTCGAATAATCGTAGGCGTTTGTGACGCAATTTTTTAGCCTTGTGATTTTCGCATCGAGCACCCTCGAGAATTGCATTAAGCCTTTTCCTCCCTTTCGTCGAATGAACATAGGAGAAATAATGGGCCACTCGGAACATAATTCCCAGTGTAGAGTGGCGGCGGCGGGGGGAGAAGGGGTAGGGAAACGTGGGGGGATGAACACGGTATTTTCACCATTAATATCCACAAGTGGTACTCGGGGTATCTTGAAGGGCTTTTAATCAAAATCCCATTTGAGGGGGGTCGCACCGCAATAAAGTTTGCAGCTGGATAGAGAAACGTCAAGTATCCGCGACTACAAACGATCCGGCACCATCATAGTCGAACGGCTCCCGTTAGAAACCGGTGAACGAATTCAGCATGAAATTGGGATATAACCTACTCGCGCGATTATCTAAA